TCACGCGCGCTCCCCCGACAACCGGCTATACGGGCTGTCTGGATAACCGACTATCTGCTTTCTCCACCTCGCGAGATTGAATGCTTTTATTTATCCAACCAATTAAGTTGCCCTCGCAAAACCTTTACCAAAACTTGTCAAAAGTTTGTCAAAGCAAGATTAAGTATGGTTTAAACGGGTCGCCTTAAGTGTCATGGAGAAAAATACTTCGTTATACGACAACCCTAACCTCGCTACGATGTTGGATAGTTGGTTATCCAGACAGCCCATGTAGATAGCCGGTTGTCGGGAGAGCGCCCGTAGATAGTCGGTTATCGAGACAGTGAGCGTAGATAGCTGCTTATTGCAGGGGAGTATCGACACGTTCTTGCCAGAGAAACTTATAAGGGGTTCATTTTTCATTTTTCTTCAGGCTCAATGCCTGTTCAGCCCATTCATATCTTCAGTTTCATATCTTCCCATTTCTTCTGAGCAGCAGCCCTCCTCTCAGCTTCCTGCCTCTTTAACTCCTCCCGCTGCCGAAAGGGCTCGTCCATCATGTTGCGATGAGCTATTGTTTGTCTCAGCCACCGCCGCAGCCGCACCGCCAGCCCCGCGCCGCCCGTACGAACCGCGCGCGCACTAACGTATACTTTTATCTTTGGTCAGCAATGCTTTCCTGTGATGATTAACAGATCTTATTTAACAAAATCAAGACGAATGTGACGTTCGGAAACGTCTGGCTTTTGCGATTTTGACAAACAGTTGCTTCTAATAAGAGTGTTTGATTGTGGCGTCTTATTGTAGGTTGTCTCCCTGCTACGTTATTCCAGGCTGACCACGACTTCAATATAAAAAAAGATAACATAGGAATAACCACATTTTGTTTTAAAAATACTTTCCAACAATGAAAAACAAAAATTCAAAAATTTGCTAAGGATCTATTTTAATAAGATCTCCTCACAGCTGTACCACAAACGGAGTTTAAGTAGTGTTGTCACGCGATGTGTTGGCAGTTCTGAGACAGTTGTGAGGTTAGGTTCTCTTTGGCCATAGCTTCTTTCAGACCATCTACTTGATAATAAATATCTAGCTAGCATCTTATGTTATCGCAACATCGCATCAATGTAGAAAATATAAGTGTAGATAGCATCAAGTGATCGCAAGTGATGATATATCTGCCTGAACGTGAGAGACCTTGGACCACAAATGGAACTCTGGGTGTCATCTGCTGCATGGAGACACACTGTCTCCACGCCTGTGCCCGATGGGGTCAGGTCCATTGTTATATCAGAGGTCGAGGGGTCCTATTCAAAAGGTCTTATCTGGGCGTTCCCCCCAAGACAATCCTATCTTAAACGCCCGCAAATTTCACTCATCTTGATCAATCAGAATCAATACGATCGTAAGCGAAACATATTTCTACATGCCTTTTCGGTTTCTTTCATCTTCCATCTTTAGATTTACTTGAACAAACTCACAAATTTTACTGATATGTAGCTGTATCAAATGATCAAACTATGTGAAATTCACCTGCGTTTAATATAAGATTGTCTTGGAGGGAACGCCCAGATAAGATCTTGTGAATAGGACCCCTCGAGGTGTGTATTTTGTTTAGAATAATCATAATAAGCCACACATTTTTTAAAAAAACCTCCATTTGCACCTCTACATATATCACAAAAACTTAAAAAGCCTTTACATAATAAGGTAGTTTGTCCAAAGTATATGGTAAGGTAAATATCTGTAAGGGAAACATAATAAGATTAGTTATTTCATTAAGTGTATTTATCTTCTAGCAAACACTGTTTACCTGCTTACCAAACAAAATAGGTGGATATTACAAAAACTTAAAAAACCTTTACATAATAAGGTCTGTAAGGGAAACATAATAAGATTAGTTATTTCATTAAGTGTATTTATCTTCTAGCAAATACTGTTGACCTGCCTACCATTAAGTGTAGTTGTCAACTGCTCATAAAGAGCCTGTCGCAGAGGGGCCGGTGCGAGGTAGCATGCCATCGACAGCAAGAGGGCAGTCCCTACGAGCTGCCACAGTCCTCTTTCATCATCTTCATGAACAGCAATGGCTCTGCGAAATAATGAAATAAGTAAGTATCTCAGAACAATCTACAGTGGAGCGAGTGACATTGCTACTAATCAATGTCTTTCATCTTCATTAGCAATTTAAGTGATGCCCTGCTCGATATACCAGCAGTAGGGACCATGTCAGATTTATCTCTCTACCTCCAAGCTCCAATAAAGGCTGGAGCCTGGTAGAGACAGAATGGGACTCAAGCATAAAGTTACACTTGAAGATGTTACGCTTGAAATCAAGCACACTCTGGAAACTCCCCCATGCATTTAGATGGGGGAAATCTTGGCGGATGAGCATGTTACGCTTCATTTCAAGCGCAAACTGATTACGCCTGAAAACAGAGGGTAATACTTCGCTTTGGTTTTATTAGTGGGGGATACACTAAGTAAGTTTGTCATGCATTTTGTCGGAATGCTCGACAATACCTCCTAGCGTCCCCAAAACACCCATCGTACCATGTGAGCCAAAGGTAATGCTGCTCGTCGTTGGGGCGACAGAGACATGTCGTAAATTGCATGGGCTTTCGGTTCGGGGGCCCAAAGTGCCGTTCGCGCACTAACCTCCGGCTTTCTCATGGCGCGTGCAACCCCCTGCTGGCGGGGGCGCCAAACTGCGCTTGATCGAGCTTTGACTAATCAATTGGGTACTTACGTATTGTCATCTTCCATTTTTTGGCTTTTTTCTTCACAACGTGTGTAGCGTGGGCGCGTTGGCTGTATCAACCTCTGACTCAGCTTCCTCTGTGGCTCAGACGAGGACGAGACGACTCACACAGGTGTCAAATTCCGCCTCCGCCCTCCCCTTCGCCCCTTTTCTACCATAAACAACCAACCCTATAGATAGACCGCCTGCTCCGTGAAAAATCCGCGAGGCTGAACATAATTGTTAAGTCACAATTTACATTTATTAAAATTCAAATTTTAAAATTTTAATCCTCAAATTTGATCGTGAAGTATCTCGACCGATCAGGGAGCGGGTCTATGTATATAGCTAGTTGTTGTTGTCGTCGAGTCCCCTGGCCACTGGCGTCCGTCTGTGTCGTCTGCCTGGTCTGCCTGCCGCCGCGCTGGTTGCATGTTGAGCAATTGTTCTTGTGTTGAGAGCGGAACGTTCGAAATATTTTAAGTTTAAGTTACTGTCTCGGCCGAAAATATGGCGAACCAACTCTTTTCATCTAATCCCTGGATGTGCGTTTTATGACCATGCAGAAATACGTAATCTAAAAACTCTTATGAAATATATTGCTATCCTAACCTGCACGTCTTTTGTTTCGTAGGTTTCTTCGTAATCTGGCGCAAGTTATATATCTCGCGGACACAATTCTGGTATTTATTTCAGAATCTCAAATCTTCAGGTAAGACTCCTGCAACCCTTCTAACTCTAAGTGTTTGGTGGCAGCCTTTTATCATTTTGCAATTGCCTGGGGAGTCACATAGATAGAGGTCAATGCACTGCTCCATAAAGGAAATCAACTTTACTCTTCCAACAGTTGTAGCAAATGTTGGCATCTATTAACGTGTCACTAATTTTTGTTCTCTTTTTATTTTGTTTGAAAGGTTCTGCTGTGTGCTGACTGTGGTCCTCTTGCTGATTGTGGTTTTCGTTCCACGGGACTCTGTGACAAGTGCGTTGCCCTACGCCAGAAACCTTTGACCATCAAAACGTACCAAAGTTGACGAGCAGCCCAGTGTGCCCTTTTTCCAAAAAGGAGTAATCAATCACCTTCCCCTCAAAAAGGGGAGGAAGGTTCTGTCTCGTTTTCAGGGACTAATCCAGAGGTTCCCCTTCAGTTGAAAGAAGAGGACTTTCCGGGCACGCCCGGTCTCCTTCTTCCACTACACGGTGCTCGTGGTCACTCATGGCGCAGCAATCTTATTCAGGGGGTGGCAACGGCCTAGGGAGAGCGTGAATCGATGCTCGCGCCGTCAGTGCAGAGCACTGTGAAAATTTGTTGTCACTTTATGACAAAAACGCGGATGACATTTTCATCACTTCCAAATCATGCCAATCTCATCACAAATTGATGACATTTTCATCAAAGCTCCTATACTTTTTGCATGGGCGTAACAAAAATGTCATCAAATTTTTTTATGACATCGTTGTAAGGAAAATTAGCCTTGAAATTGTCATCAAGTGACGACTCAAATTTTCACAGTGAGGTTGCGCCGAAGAGGCAACCACTCGCGAAGTCCTGTGAACACTTCATTTGCCGAAGTCTTGAGCGAAATCGGCAGAAGTCTCGCGAAATCCCTTCGAAGTCTGGTGCAATCTCACGAAATCCCATCAAAATCTGGTGAAATCTCGCGAAATCCCATCAAAATCTCACGAAATTTCGCATAATTTTGACGCGAAATCCTGCGAAATCTTGCGAAATTTCGACGAAATCCCTACCTTTGAAGAATCCTAGGTACAAAAAAAATTCGAGTGGTTGCCCCCTCGGGTTGCGCACTTGTTCGAGATTATGAAAACTTCAATCTCTTGAAAAACAAGCTCTGATGGGTCTTCAGTTAGTGTATTGGCAGCTGCAGGTGTAGTTGAACTGGGTGTTACCTGCAGGAACAAAGTTAGAGATATGGGTTTCATCAACCAAGGAACCAAAATCAACCTGTAAACACAAACAAAAAACGAAAACTCACAACTTCAGTTGAACAGCATTCAAGAATGTCAGGTTGGTCCTTAGAACGCAGGGTGATGTGTAAGTCATTGCTGTCCTTTGTGACACTCCCATGAAGCGGAAGATGCTTTTGAGTCTCTTGGGAAAGAAACTCTGATAGATCTTCAGCTTGTGTATTGGCAGCTGTACTTGGAATTGAACCTGATGTTGTGACCTGCGTAAGTAAAGTAAGAGACACAGAATTCATCGATTAAGGAACGAAAATCAATATGAAAAAACAAACTCAAAACAAATACTTACAACTTAAGTTTAACAGAACTCAGGAATGTCAGCTAGATGCGGAATGTCAAGAGTAGTTATTGCCCTTACAGATCTGTCTTGGAACTGAACCTCAGTTTTGGAAGGTGGGGAATCCTAAGAAAGCAAAATAAAAACACAAAATTAGTTTCGACTGAAATGAGCAATTATCATGATCAGTCTCACCACGCCTCACCTTCTACTCATCAATGCCCAACCTTGGAGGGCGCCGCCTTGCCCTCACAGGCCTGGTTGCCGGTTCTTCGTCCTCGTCTCGGCTTCTTTTGCGCTGGGCTGTGGGTGGGGTGGAGGGTGGGCTTGAGCTTGTGGGCGACTTCCTGCCAGACTGGCGGGGCGGCGGCGGCGCAGACTTGCGGGTCGCAGTGTGCTGGCGGGGCGCCGCAGTCTGCTTGCGTGGCGTCCTTGTCAGAAACGGACCGCACTGAAAATCCAAGTGTGGGACAGGCATGCACTTGATAACGTGGGACAAACTGTCCCACGCTTGTAAGCGTGGGACAAAATGTCCCACGTTTGCAAGCGTGGGACAAACCGTGTTACACGCTTACAAGCGTGGGACAAACCGTGTTACACGCTTACAAGCGTGGGACAAACCGTGTTACACGCTTGTAAGCGTGGGACAAATCCGTGTCCCACACTTGCAAGCGTGGGACAAACTGTGTCCCACGCTTGCAAGCGTGGGACACTTTGTCCCACGTTATCTAGTGCATGCCTGTCCCACACTTGGATTTTCAGTGCGGTGGTCGTAGATGAACTAGAAGGGCACCAAAGAAACAGATATAAATTCCACGGGCTACTTAAATCCAGTTCCCCCGCTCCCGACAGTGAACTCACTTTACAGACATGCAGGTGAAGTCAAGCTCTACTATGGACCCGTAAGTCGTCACGTTGCCATCATGCCGATTGGAGTCATCGTAGCCATGGGAGGGTCCTGCGCCGGTCCTGTGCCAGAGGGTCCTGAGCCAGAGGGTCCTGAGCCAGAGGAGCCACGACCGAGTAACCTGTGGAAGAAACACAATCAGCTTAGCCAATCATGGAATAGGAACGCCACCGACGGGTCCCGGTCATTATCGTAAATTGTCACAACCGGCTCAGGGCCTCCAACCACTGGAGGGAAAGGTTGGGCGGGCGGCGGTGCGTCGTACCGGTTGGCCATTTTCTCTGGGGGAAGAGAGGACGGGTTAGGCTAGCACAACAAGCCCCAAGCAATGTACATTATGGGGTTTTTGCAGTGCAAGGGCTCAAGTACAGTTCGCCTGCGCGCCTTAGTTAAATGACAAGAAAGTCAGTCACAAATTCTCAACTCAACAGAACGGATTGATGTGAAAGGAATGTGGCAGTAACAGAGGCATGCACAAACAGGTTCCTAGGGCAAGGATTCAATGGATGTGCAAGTGTGATGCACATGTCCTGTGCATGTTATTGTTCTTCTTCAGTTGGCATTAGGAGGTCTGTTGCTGTTAAAATTATAGGCAATGGCTATTCCACTTTGAAAAAGATGGGAGTACATAAGAGCTATTGTGTAGCAGTACACATTTGAGTGATATCCACAGGTCTTATACCTTTCGTTAATAGCCTTGTTCACAGCATCAAATTTGAGAGTCAACCAGGGAAATTCTATAATCTTCAACATGCTCCATATTGACTAAATCGCGCCCACCAAATTTGGTCACGATCTTCGCCCAAAGAAAAAAAACCTCATAACAACATCAAAACATCATTAAAAACAGATGAATGGTTACTCTGACCTTTGCAGAAGGTGACTTTGTTTTGGACTGCTTGTTGGGCGTCTGTGGTTTGGACTGCTTGCTAGGCAACGTGCGCTTCACAACTCTTGTGGCTGCACTCCCTGCTCGAAGGATGACCGCACGGAGAAAAGAAAGTAGGTCCCGCAGCCACGAAGTAGCTGTCCCAGCTACTTTTCGTGGGTGATTTTGGCGCGCGTACGTGCGCAGGTGTGGTGGCTTCTTATAGTGGGTGGGGGCAAGAGGGGTGAGGGAGCGACGCTGAAGTAGCCGTGGTGCCCACTTTCGGTACGCGCATTTATTGGTTAAAAAGCAATAACTTTTCTTTGTCCTCTACCTTTGAGGACGGAGAATAGTGCATCTACCGTAAGTGAGCCACTTTTGCCAGTATTTGTTGTACATTTTTGGAGGTTATTTTTGGCAGTGTATAGTATATAAATTAATCTTGATTCAATTTTGCTCATGAACCTTACTAACTCAGAAGCTGACATAAGTTAAATAATCTAACTGCACTGAAAACGTAATGGTCGGACACATGGCCAAATTATGGCGTGACAAAAAGTCACGCCAAAAATTGGCGTGACACGAAATTCACGCCGAAAAACGGCGTGACATGTGAGTCACGCCCTCATTTGGCGTGATTGACAACGCGTTTTCTGAGGCAAGTCACGCCAAAAAGCGGCATGACAAGAAATTCACGCCAAAAATTGGCGTGAATTTTTGGGTCACGCCGATTTTTGGCGTGACTTTTGTGTCATGCCGTTTAATGGCCTGACACTTTCTTCACGCCCCTGCAGCGGCACGAAGTCACGCCGGTAGATTTTCAGTGTGTAGGACAATTCACTGCAATTTGGATGGAAAGTAGGGTGGGTCGAAAATCCCAGAATTAAACGGCGTATGGTTTTCTTTGCAGTTGACCACATTAGAAAAGAGATCCCACAATGCTGGGGTCTGGTGAGGTCACCTTCCATCTCTTTGGAGGCTCCAAACTTGGGTCTAATAGTGAAAAATGGCACTTTTGGCCCCACAGGGACCAAACCAGGGATCGCCCAGGATGCGGCTATCTCGCGATGGGTGCGGAATATGTTCCTTTATATCCCTGCAAAGTCTGGGCGATGTGGCTCAACATCTTGGTTAAGCCCGGGCACTTGTTTTAACGCTAAAACAAAGTTGCAAGACGCTAAAAATTGGATTTAAGGGTCTATTGTTTGCTCAAAGGTCCCATATACATATATAAATGGAAAGCGCTCCAAAAATGCAATTTTTTGGTATATATAACTTTGTGATCGGCCGAAAATTCTTGCCAGGGCGAAACTTGACACATTTCAGCAAAAGCTCAAAAACACTAAAAAGTGATCTTTAGGACAATATGTATTGCCTGTGGATCCAATATGATCACACTGTTCGAAAGATCTAAAAAAATGCAAAATTTTGGTATATAAAGTTTTGTGATTGGACAAAAACTCGATTTGTTGTTAATTATAGAAGAAAGTGCAATCGTTCGTTGGGCCATCTCTTGCCTAACAAGGGCTTTGCTTCGCTTTGCTTGTGAATTCTTTTGCAACAATTCGAGTTTTTGTCCAATCACGAAACTTTATATACCAAAATTTTGCATTTTTTTAGATCTTTCGAATAGTATGATCATATTGGATCCACATGCAATACAAATAATCCTAAAGATCACTTTTTGGTGTTTTTGAGCTTTTGCTGAAATGTGTCAAGTTTCGCCCTGGCAAGAATTTTCGGCCGATCACAAAGTTATATATACCAAAAAATTGCATTTTTGGAGCGCTTTCCATTTATATATGTATATGGGACCTTTGAGCAAACAATAGACCCTTAAATCCAATTTTTAGCGTCTTGCAACTTTGTTTTAGCGTTAAAACAAGTGCCCGGGCTTAACCAAGATGTTGAGCCACATCGCCCAGACTTTGCAGGGATATAAAGGAACATATTCCGCACCCATCGCGAGATAGCCGCATCCTGGGCGATCCCTGGTTTGGTCCCTGTGGGGCCAAAAGTGCCATTTTTCACTATTAGACCCAAGTTTGGAGCCTCCAAAAAGATGGAAGGTGACCTCACCAGACCCCAGCATTGTGGGATCTCTTTTCTAATGTGGTCAACTGCAAAGAAAACCATACGCCGTTTAATTCTGGGATTTTCGACCCACCCTAATGGAAAGACTTCACGCCAAAATATGGCGAGACATTAAAGTCTCGCCAAGATTTGGTCAGACCTGAAAGTCCTGCCAAAATTTGGTCAGACAAAAAAGTCTCGCCACAAAACGGTCATACACAAAAGTCTGACCCCAAAATGGCGAGACTTTTGTGTCTGACCACGGCCTTTAGGCCGTAACCGTCCGGCGCATTACGGCCTTTCAGTGGTGGTCAGACACAAAAGTCTCGCCATTTTGGGGTCAGACTTTAGTGTATGACCGTTTTGTGGCGAGACATTTTTGTCTGACCAAATTTTGGCGAAACTTTCAGGTCTGACCGAATCTTGGCGAGACTTTTATGTCTTGCCTCTAGAGTGGCGAGAAGTCTGACCTTTGGATTTGTAGTGGTAAATTTAATAGGGCATAATCTAGACACCAACAAGATATCATTTTTAACAGATTGCTAATAAATGTCAATGCTTACATTTTCATTTAGAGGTCTGCTGATCCGAGGTCGCTTGTTAGCTGGAGTTTCTGGTTGGGTGGTTGGAATCAGTTCCCCTCCTTCCGGAGCAACAACAAAGTCTGCTACAATCTACGGGCAAGAAACCAACAATAGTTTTAAACATACCGAAAGACAACACTCTTCTAACATTGGCTTCCTTACGTAGCTGTAAGTTATTGATAAATATTTACCTCGCCCTCGCCCTGTTCACTTCTGACTGTTGTAGAGCGCACCGCGAGCTCAGCCTCCGCAGTATTCGCGCTTTCTCGGATGTATTTCTTCAATAAATCCTCGATGAGCACTTTGGCCCTGGCCTTGGCTAAGATGTTTTGAGAGTAGGACCGCGGGAAGCGCGGGTCGACCAGCGTCGCAATCGACAACGGCATTACGTTCTCGATCTTGTCCAGCCGCTTGTCAAATTCGTCACAAATGAATTTATAAAAACTCCTTGCCAGATCGTTGCTCCGTGGAATGTCCATTTTCCCTAGGTTCTGAAAACAATTTTCAATATTAACTACTCGATTGAAATTAAAATTAAAGGCACAAAAGAAACAAGGCCAACGTTGGCATTGATATACAATACAACATGCTGCTAGACTCGCATTCACTACAATTATAAAACAAAAATATTAACAAAAAATTTTAGACAGATTCTTTGATTTGAATAGACGAACCCGTTGCACCAAGATTAGATGGTGAATCCTCTGCCACAGAACTTGAATTCAGCCCATCAACTTGTGCACGTTCAGTATCTTCTTCTTCATCATCGGACATCAAAATGGCTTCCTCGGGAACATCGGTTGCCGAAGAAAAGTGAGAATCATTTTCTGGACCTGGCAAAAACAAATCAGTATTAATATTTATCAAAAGAACACTTATTACACATGAAAGAACATAAACCCTTACACTTTTAAAGAATATCAATCCCATATGAGTTGTCCCACTCCATAGCCTCATCTCCACCATCATCTGATGCCTTTTTAATATCATTCAGCAATCGTGGTATATTTACAGGGCCTCTTGCGTTTCTTGAAAACATCGCATTGGTGTATGCAACGAGGCGTTCCACATCCACGCCCTCGTCCTCGTGACGCCGAGCGTGCGTGAACATTGATAATTTCAGTGTTCATAGCTCCGCAAAAGGGACAAAAACACATCGGCTGTGATTCTTTGGATTGTCTGTTCTCCACTGTAAACTGAAGAGAAACGTCAGATAAGGTGCCATTTTAATTTAAACACAGCGTGAAGCAATCGTTAACCATACTTACTCCCAATCTTCTTGCTATTGATCCCCGATGACCTGATCTCATGATGTCCTGGGATCAGTCCGGGCTCGAGTCGGGGCTTGAGTGGGGCTTAGTTGAGGCTGTAGCCGGGGCCCAGGTCATCGGGGCTTAAACGGGACGGGGCTCACGTCGACCCAGCCGATTCCTCGTTCGGGGTCACCCGAAAGTCAGTACGAGTCGGGGCGCAGGTCTCAAAGTCAGGGGAAGTGCATGTCCCACACACTGAGAACTTGGTAGTACTTATTGTTCATCGGAGGCTCTTCACTCTTTCCCGCGCCGTGCGGGACTACGGGGTCGGCCATGGTTTTGCGGCGGTGCGGCGTGCGTGCGTTATGACTGCTCGGGTGGCAGGACTACAGTGACAGTGCGTGGAGGACCTGGGCGAGGCAGCAGCGTCCCTACGCCGCCGCCGCCCGGCGCGAGACGGAGGGGGTGCGGGGACTTTTTGCAAGTTTTGCAATTTGCGTTTTTTGACGTCAGAACGACTTTCTTTGCATGCAGATATACTCACAGTGTCCACCACGACCAGAAGGAGGTCGGGGAGGCGGCCCGCTGCGCCTCACGCAGGGGTCGTCGGGGGAGGGGCGGAGTGGGCGGAGCGGACGGGCTTCTTGCAGCGGGTCCGGCTGACCAAAGAGCGCCCTCGCAGCGCTAGCTGGTCCCCGTGCAGCCCTCGCGGAGGGTGCAGCGGGGGCAGCAGGGGCTGCAGGGGCAGCCTGGACGGCCGGCTCAGCGGGGGTGGCTGGGGCGACTGCTGCGACTGGGCCCGCGGCGGACGGAGCAGCTTGGGCGTCGGGGGCAGTGGCAGCGGCGGTCGGGGTGGCTGGGGCAGCGGGGGCAGCCGGAGCCCCTGGCGTCCTCCTGAAGGCGCCCAGTCGGGTCGGGTCTAGCGCGCTCTGAAACAAAAAAATCAACTATGACTAGGGGTACGCGCCGTTTACTGTGGGCGCGTAGTGTGGCTGAGCGATGCGAATTAGTTTCTGCACTTCGGACTTTGCTTAACTGGACGAAATGAGCAACTTACGGGCTCTGAGTGAAATGTAGGTCTCGGGTATAAATGGAAGTGATTTTCGTTTTCAGCACGCAAAAAGCTGTTAGGATCAACGTCAAACTCGATTCAAAAATTTTGGTCCAAATTTGGTCAAAATTAGGTAAAGCGTGAGTCTGGGAAAAATTTGGAAGTCATTTTTGAGTTCAGCACACCAAAAACTGCAGGAAACAATATAAAACTCGACTTGAAGATTTTGGTCCAAAATGACCTAATTTGGGATGAAAATATAAGTCTGGAGTCGAAATGGAAGAGATTTTCGTTATCAGGACACAAAAAACTACTGAGATCAACATCAAACTCAATTCAAAAATTTTGGTCCAAATTTGGTCAAAATTGGGTAAAGCGTGAGTCTGGGAAAAATTTGGAAGTCATTTTTGAGTTCAGCACACCAGAAACTGCAGGAAACAATATAAAACTCGACTTGAAAATTTTGGTCCAAAATGACCTAATTTGGGATGAAAATATAAGTCTGGAGTCGAAATGGAAGTGATTTTCGTTATCAGGACACAAAAAACTACTGAGATCAACATCAAACTCAACTCAAAAATTTTGGTCAAAATTTGGTCAAAATTAGGTAAAGTGTGAATCTGGGAAAAATTTGGAAGTCATTTTTGAGTTCAGCACACCCAAGACTGCAGGAAACAATATAAAACTCGACCTGAAAAGTTTGGTCAAAAATGAGCTAATTTGAGATGAAACTATAAGTCTGGAGTAGAAATGAAAGTGATTTTCATGATTGGCACTCCAAAAACTGCAAGAATTAATGTGAGATTCAATTGAAAAATATTGATATTGAATTGATTAATAACGGAGAGAGTATGGGTCTGGGTTCATGGATCACCCCATGTCGTCACCCTAATGCGAAACCAATGCGATTCCTCAGTCGAGTAACATTCCATTGAATCGCTTAATTGGCTAATCGTCTGCTTGAGTCACTACTCGATATATCTGTTTCTTCAAACTAATGAATTTACAAATTTATTAGTTATATTTGAGTAGCCTTTTGTCATTCTTTCATTTTAAACCAGTGAATTAAACAATATAGACTGGAATATGTAATCATAGGTTTTATTAAGTGAATCAGTTTAGGGCAGGCTGATCTGAAGCATAAGACGGAGACCAAGTTTTGTCAAATTCAGTGAATTGTCTCATGAAGTCCAATGCAGAGGCCACTTTTTGCTCAATACGCCATTATTTTTTCATGTCTTGTGGTAGTTTATCTTTGGAGTAAAAGATGACAGTACAGGATTAACATTAGGCATTGGGCTTTTGTTCGGAGAGCCACATTTAAACTATTACCAATACTAAGTTCCAGTTATCGGGCACAAACTTTGGTGAAGTGAAAAGAATCGTCTCATTAAATCCAATTACCAAGTCACTCACCGCTCACAATCTGAATCGTCTCATTGAATCCAATATCAATTCAAAATTTATTAGCATTAAAAATACACATCCATATGTGGATTCTTTTAATCAATAGATGCTAGTACAAGAATACTTATGTTAGGTTGCAGCATTAAAATAGGATGTCATTTCCCGAGTCAAACAAAGACATGTAACTTGTCTTCTAATTTCAACAGAAGTTATTCATGCATTTACCTAATTTGATTTTCTATGAAATTTAAAAATAAATTTAAAAATAAGGATGGTATCAGAGAAAATAAAATCAGTAGATACACACAAAGAAACAGGCAAAGAAAACATTCTATTTTCAGTCCACAACTACACTCACAGTGCACTGACCTGCAGGAAGATTCCCCTGTGACGAGGGAGGGGGGAGAGGGGCACGAAACACGCAAACCATTCTCACTTTCAGTTTTCGTATTTTCCTCTGTTGACACTCCGGAAGGGTTTTAATCATTCTAGAATGTTAAAAAACTAACTCAGAACCTATTTGAGAGCCCCTTTGCTCTTCAGTTTGTTTATTTGCATAAGTACCGTCCTGTCTTGCAGACGGCTTGGAAGCGCGGCAGCCGGTATGAGAAATTGGTAAGCCACACACTGCTACCAACCAAACAACGCTAATAACCTAGTTCAAAACGATGTTTTGAATATTTCAAACGATGATAATTGTTGATCTAAGATAAACTCCCCCTGTGGGACACTTTGGAGATGTTCAATACGAAATTTGGGAACGATTGGTGTTGTAGTTGCTGAGAAACGTGAGCGTGTACGCTACAGACTCACAGACGGACAGACAGACTCACGACCAGTCACTTTTTGGTGCGCCTAAACACGGCATGGGCTTCGCTATCGCTCAGCCAAAAAAACCGCGCGAAAAAACTGGCACACTCTTAACACTCGGAAGCAGACTTACTACTCGCATCTCCGGCGGGGGGATGGGCAAGAGGCCCCGTCGACGAGGCACCACGGGGTCCGCGGCCTGGGCGACGGGGCAGGCTGGGGCGTCCGGCGCAGCGGGGGTGGCTGGGGCGTCCTCGCCCTCCTCATCAGAGCTGATGTCCTGAAACAAAAAAAAAATAATTTTATTTTGACAATGCAACTCAAGTACGAAAGGAATCGAGCACACGACAGGGAAAACTTACAATGGTGCATGAGTCACAGAGCTGGCTCAGGAGGCTCACCGAGCCGTCATCCCACGACGTCTGTAGACCTCCGAGCTCCTGATTCGTAAAGAAAATGAGTTAGACATCGTAAAAAACAACAAAAAAAAATGTTGAGAAACAGAACTTGTTACTTACCATCATCAGGGCATCGCCACCCTCCTCCACCTCCGCCGTCATCCAGCTGGTCTGGCTGGGAGGCGGGGTGGGGAAGGCCGGGGAGGGTGGAGGCGGGGTGGGGAAGGTGGGGGTCCCCGGGAAAACATCCCCGAGAGGGGATGCCTCTGGGGTGCGGGGCGTGGGCGGCGCCGGCGCCAGCTCCTTCATGGGGGTGGAAGTCACTGCCACCTGAAAAAAGATCGAAAATCATTAACACATTGCCAGGCATTTAAATTTGTGACTAACCTTGCTTGCCCATCTTCTCAGCTTTATCAATGATAAAGTGTGCGATGGATGAACAAGGTTTTGCTCTGAACGAGATGTTCGCAACGTATTCTGTTGTTAAAGCAACACCAATACAGTGCGATCACCTCTTTCGTTGCATAAATTCATTGGCAACGATTGGACGACGAGTGCGCTGCGCGGGGGAATTCCCCCGAGCGCACGACTTACGGTTCACCAACGAGGCTGAACGCACGCGATGCGAGACGGGCGACGACGCCGTGAGGGTAGGCAACCCATCGTGCCAGGACTGGAACGCTGCGGAGAAGGGGGAAGGGGGGAGAGCGACGCGGCATGGGCGTAAACGCAACGAGTGCGAGAGAGCGAACGGCGCGACGCGGTGGCGGTACGATTAGGTACGATGCGCGGCAAGCCTGGCAGCTGGTGCACTGCAAGGAGGCGAGGGAGGTGCGAGAGAGACAGACCGAACGGCGCGGCGGCGGAATGCACAAAGGCAAGTGGGCTTGCACCAGCTGGAGTGCAGCAGGGGCGGCGTGCGAGAGCGACAGAGACAGAGCGACCGGAGCGCGCGAGTGAGATGAGTGCGAGAGAGACAGAGCGACGCGAGTGCGAAGAAGGCAGCGTGGGAGTGCGAGAGAGACAGAGCGAGGACGCGGCGCGCCAGCGGCAAGAACAAAGGCGAAGCCGGCCGGCACCGGTTCGCGACCGGGCCGCGGCCTAGGCGAAAGGTTAGGAACGGGGAATACTCACACGGGATCAGAATCTAAGTCACGCTGAACTTAGATTTTGATACAGGAACGAAAAACTGAAACGAAATGATGGAGAATGAGGAGATGACGCAATACCAACGCCACCGAGCCGAGCGAGGCCACCATGGGAACGACATGAAACCCAGCACTTAATTCAGTCGGAAACAAGGATTTCTGACCGAAAATCACGGCACGAAGCCCAAAATGCTCTCGTTCCCATGCACGCACGGTGCAGAGAACAAAGGGCTTGGCGCGGAGGGCAACATGGCGGACCCGACCGGCTTGGCTTGACGGCGTCAGACAAAGGATTTCGCGTTGAATCGGTACTTAACATCTTCGTCACCGAACAATGCGCCGGAGACATCCAGCGCAATGGAGTCACCCGTCACATGCTGGATGTCGATCTCAGAATCTTCAGAGTCGCTCCCGTACGCCTTAATCAGATCCATCTTCACAAACACAAAATTTCACACGCAACGACGGGACCAAGGGCTGGAACACGACTGACGCTTCGCGAAGCCTCCACAGTGGAGGCGCGAGGCGCGAGGGAGAGGGGCGGACGCGGCGGGCGCGGGGGTGAGTCGGGGCAGGGTGGGGAAGGACTCGGCGGGGGCGCGCTCACTAAAAAGTTCCCTTCCAAATTTAACTCCCGACAGTGCTAAATTCGCACTTCGCCAGTGCGAACTGCCAAAATCACTCTCGACGGTGCAATCAGCGCTTGTTTGCACTTCTAAGTGCGAAAATGGACCCAAAAGTGCTAAGTCGGTGAGTGAGTGCACTTGTAAGTGCAAAAATGTTTCACCCGGGAAAAGTGCGAAGTTTCTCGCCTCTCATTGGTTCCCATGCGGCGCGTGAGTTTGAATTACGCGCGTCAAGGGCACAAAAATGTTGGTTTGGCGGGCGAAAACGACCGGTTACTGAAGAACCTAACATCGCGAAATATCCCAGGAGTAACTCCACCCCAAGGTGGACCGAGATCTGGGATTGGGTCACGGATTCGGTTCAAACTTTGTGGGTTCAATAGGTACCACTAGGACCTATCAACCCTCAAAGGAAAGTTGGCTAGCTCAAATAGAACCTGAGATATTTGCATTTTTCTAAATTTGACTAATTTAGTGTAAAATTGTCGCTTTCTGATTTTTTTAGGGTAAAAGTTGTTTGCTTAGTTCTGCCTTATGTTTCATCTTTCTAGTCGTAAAAAAAGAAGAAAAATGGTGGTAGGCCAAGTTTTGTACGTTGCTTGGTTTGGCCTACTCGAGCAATTTTGTCGAATTCATCGAAACTCTCATACCCAAAATACTCCACCTTGGATTTGGCCCTGGTGCGTCTCATTTCAGTTCTTTTACTCTAATAAACAATTGCTATGTAGTCCTTAGCACCAACAATTCCATGTAAGCCAGAAAAATCAAAAACACCATTTTTTAATTTTCTACTTTGACCTATTTTGGGCACTTTTGTTAAGATTAGGGCTTCTACATGATCTTGGGTGACAGGAAAGACCCTCCCTGCCCTCAATTTAGATAGTATCAACACAAACAAAGAGACCCAAACTCAAGTTGCACTAGAAATTGATAAGGAAATTGTTTCGAGCAAATTTTGCAAGATTACGAGGGGTGTGAAAAATTTAAAATGTAATGTAATAAAATGTAATGCTTCAGCCAAAAGTGGATTTGTGGTTCATTTCTCAAGTAGGTTTGGTGCCCTTTTAACCCTGAGAATGTGCCACCTTGATAATCAGTGTTAAAACCCTGTTTTGGTATGGGGTTGTTGGACTTACGATTTCAACTCATAAACAAAGTAATGATCCATTTACTAAGGTTGCTTGCAACGTGTAAGTTCAACCGCTTAGTCTTAGTCATCTGGCTGGTCTCAAAAATTTACAAACCAAATGGAACCAGGCTCAGTTATTGAGACTAAGCGGTTGAACTTACATATTGCAAGCAACCTAAATAAATGGATCATTACTTTGTTTATGAGTTGAAATCGTAAGTCCAACAACCCCATAACAAAACAGGGTTTTAACTCTGATTATCAAGGAGGAACATTCTCAGGGTTAAAAGGGCACCAAACCTACTTGAGAAAGCTAACTAATGAACCACAAATCCACTTTTGGCTGAAGCATTACATTTTCCTCCGATTTAAATTTCTCACACCCCTCGTAAACCTGCAAAATTTGCTCGAAACAATTTCCTTATAAATTTTTAGTGCACCTAGAGTTTGGGTCTCTTTGTTTGTGTTGATACTATCCAATTTGAGGGCAGGGAGGATCTTTCCTGTCACCCAAGATCATGTAGAAGCCCTAATCTTAACAAAAGTGCCCAAAATAGGTCAAAGTAGAAAATTGAAAAATGGTGTTTTTGATTTTTCTGGCTTACATGGAATTGTTGGTGCTAAGGACTACATAGCAATTGTTTATTAGAGTAAAAGAAGTGAAATGAGACGTACCAGGGTCAAATCCAAGGTGGAGTATTTTGGGTATGAGAGTTTCGATGAATTCGACAAAATTGCTAGAGTAGGCCAAACCAAGCAACGTACAAAACTTGGCCTACCACCATTTTTCTTCTTTTTTTACGACTAGAAAGAAGAAACATAAGCCAGAACTAAGCAAACAACTTTTACCATAAAAAAAAACAGAAAGCGACAATTTTACGCTAAATTAGTCAAATTTAGAAAAATGCAAATATCTCAGGTTCTGTTTGAGCTAGCCAACTTTCCTTTGGGGGTTGTTAGGTCCTAGTGGTACCTATTGAACCCACAAAGTTTGAACCGAATCCGTGACCCAATCCCAGTTCTCGGTCCTCCTTGGGGTGGAGTTACTCTTCTGTAATAAAAACTTATTGTTTTTATTTCCTCATGGATAGTTTTGAATTTGTGAAATTAAAGCCTCAGTAGCTTTGACTCTGTTTAATTTTATGGATTTAATTAAACTTGACATACCATAAGCCTTTCTTCTTTAGTCTATTGAACCTTTCCCCAAAGAGAACTTGCTGTTTTAACACACTCTGAAATGAAGAATTGCACTTCAAAGAGTAAAAATCACACTATGGGGGGTAAAATTAGCACTTTTGGCGTTTTTCACCCCTGGTTTCACTTTTGCACTGGGGAGTGCTATCGACTTACTACTTTGCACTCTGTAGTGCAAAATTAGCACCTCCAGGAGTGGTCCATTTTCACACTGCGAAAGTGCGAAATTTGCACCACTAGGAGCGAATCAGCTAGAAACTTTTTAGTGAGCGGGACGAGGTGGGGAAGGGTGCGGGAACTCGTGGCGCGGCGGGGCGCGTTCCAAACTTCGCATCGATATCTCGCGCTTTTAAACTAGGGGTACGCGCCGTTTAGTGTGGGCGCGTAGTGTGGCTGAGCGATGCCAATTTGTGCATTTCGGACTTTGCTTATGTAGACGAAATGTGCAGCTTGTGGGCTCATATTGAGTGAAATGTAGGTCTGGGGTATAAATGGAGGTGATTTTCGTTATCAGCACACAAAAAACTGTTGGAATCAACGTCAAACTCAATTCAAAAATTTTCGTCCAAAATTGGTTAAAATTCGGTAATGCGTGAGTCTAGGAAAAATTTGGAAGTCATTTTTGAGTTCAGCGCACCAAAAACTGCAGGAAACAATATAAAACTCGATTTGAAAATTTTTGTCCGAAATGACCTAATTTGGGATGAAAATATAAGTCTGGAGTCGAAATGGAGGTGATTTTCGTTATCAGCACACAAAAAACTGTGAGGATCAACATCAAACTCAATTCAAAAATTTTGGTCCAAATTTGGTCCAAATTTGGTAAAGCGTGAGTCTGGGAAAAATTTGAAAGTTATTTTTGAGTTCAGCTCATCAAGCACTGCAGGAAACAATATACAACTCGACCTGAAAATTTTGGTCCGAAATGACCTAATTTGAGATGAAAATATAAGTCTGGAGTAGAAATGGAAGTGGTTTTCATAATCAGCACTCCAAAAACTCCAAAAATCAATATGAGATTCGATTGAAAAATATTGATATCAAATTGATCAATAATGGGTAAACAATGGGTCTGGGTTGGTCTTCATGGATCCCCCTTTGTCGTCACCAAATACCTTGATGCCACACCAATTCGATTCCTTTAGTCGAGTAACATTCCATTGCCAGCATTGAGTCGCTTAATTTGCTATTCGTCTGCTTGACTCACTATTTGATACATCTTTGTCTTCAAACAAATGAATTTACAAATTAATTAGTTATATTTGAGAAGTCTTTTGTCATTCTTTCATTTTAAACCAGTTAATTAAACAATATAGACTGGAATATGTAATCATAGTTAACATGAAGTGACCAAGTTAAGGACAGGCTGATGTGAAGCATTCGACGGAGAACAAGTTTTGTCAAATTCAGTGAATCGCCTCATGAAGTCAAATGCAGAGGCCACTTGTTGCTCAATATGCCAACATAATTTACCTTATTCATGCCTCGTGATATTTTATCTTTAGAGTAAAAGAATACAGTATACTATTAACATTGGGCGTACATTCAGAGAGCCAGCTTTTAAACCATTACCAATACTTAGTTCCAGTTGTCGGACACAAACTTTGGTGAAGTGAAAGCAATCGTGTCATTAAATCCAATTACCAAGTCACCCACCCGCTCAAAAACCCGAATCGTGTCATTGAACCCAATATCAATTCATAATCTGTTAGCACTAAATATATGGATTATTTATTGCACTAAATACATCTATTTATGGATTCTTTTAATCAATAGATGTTAGTACTAGAATATTTATGTTAGCTTGCAGCATTGCAATAGAATGTCATTTCCCGAGACAAACCAAGACAATTAACATGTCTTCTAATTTCAACAGAAGTTATTAATGCATTTACCAGATTTGATTTACTAAGAAATTTTAAAAAAAGGATAGTTTCAAAGAGAATAAAATCAGTAGATGCACACGAAGGCAAAGGAAACATTCTAGTTACAATCCACAACTACACTCACAGTGCACTGACCTAAAGCAAGATTCCCCTGTGACGGGGGAGGGGGGAGAGGGGAACGAAACACGCAAACCATTCTCACATTCAGTTTTCGTATTTTCCCCTGTTGACACTCCGGAAGGGTTTCAATCATTCTAGAATGTTAAAAAACTATCTCAGAACCTATTTGAGAACCCCTTTGCTCTTTGGTTTGTTTATTTGCATAAGTGCCGTCCCGTCTTGCAGACGGCTTGCAAGCGCGGCAGCCATGAGAAAATGTTCAGCCAGACGCTGCTACCAACCTAACCACGCCAGTTACCTAGTTCAAAACGATGTTTTGAATATTTCAAACGATGATAATTGTTAATCTGAGATAAACTCCCCCTGTAGGATGTTTAGGAGACATCAGGTGTGAAATTTGGATGCTATTCGTTCAGTAGTTGCTGAGAAACGTGAGTGATTACATACAGACAGACAGAGAGACGGACAGACAGACTCACGACCAGTCACTTTTTGGAGCGCCCAAACACGGCAAGGGCTTCGCTATCGCTCAGCCAAAAACTGAAAAATTTTGCGTTAAAACATCTGATTACCATTGAAGAGTGTGGGCATTCCCTCGACGTGTTCTTCACCTCTCTCTCCTCCCTATGCAAGTGAGTGTGTGCGTGTTTGTGACAACGAGAACGAGAGATCGTAGCAGACGACGGCCAAACCTCTAGGCGCGCACCGAGGGGATTCCCCCGGCACGGCAAGGCAGCCCAAGCTCTAGAGGGAGCCTCGTTCGACCGCCAGCAGCATGCAGACCCACTTGTTGGCGACCAAGGCCGTCCCCGACGTCAAAGCAGAGTACACCGGCACGCCGCTTGGGGCGCTCGCGTCGCGAGTGCGCGCGGAGCGCGGACGGTGCGGCAACACAGCGGGTGGAAACTCCCTTAGCGCGGCTGGGACCATGTCTCGGGCGGCTCGCCACGGCCCGGTCGGCCGCCCGGCGCCCGAGAATGGGCTGCACCGGCCCCTATTATTGCTTAGAAATCAATTAAAAATTTGACTTTTTGAAAAAGTGGCCATTCTAAGCCACAATTTAAGGACCAAGGAATCGTTTTCATTCATTGGATTTGACCAACAGACATGTTATAACAATGAATTTCTCCCCGAAACTTTTCGGCGGCGACGCGCTATCCTGCGAGCTACGGCCATCCTACGCATAGCAAACTTAATCCGTTTCGTTCTCAGCAATCGTTCATCGCATTGCAAATCCGAGGACAGATTCGGAATCTGCGTGAAATTTACTGCGGCGTAGGACATATCGTTATATTTGAAACTCTCAAGATGAAGTGTAGTCATAAGAGGGAAAATAACCTAAAATGACCTTGAAAAACCGGCAAATTTAACGTAGTTTTCTCATTATAACTACACTTGATCTCAAGAGTTTTAAATATAACGATACGTCCTACGCCACAGGAAATTTCACGCAGATTCCGAATCTGTCCTCGGATTTGCAATGCGATGAACGATTGCTGAGAACGAAACGGATTAAGTTTGCTATGCGTAGGATGGCCGTAGCTCGCAGGATAGCGCGTCGCCGCCGAAAAGTTTCGGAGAGAAATTCATTGTTAAAACATGTCTGTTGGTCAAAACCAAAGAATGAAAACGATTCCT